TTTGGGATTTATTTATTTATGGCTTGTTTGTTTGAGCACAGTATGTTATATCAGCACCATAACTGCATTTTGCTCATCAGAATTTAAGCCAGTGATGTGTGAATGCAGCCAAAGAGGAGCAGAGATTTGAAATGAGTAGGGTAGGGTAGGGTAGGGTAGGGTAGGGTAGAACAGAACAGAACAGAACAGAATTGAATTGAATTCTTTATAGAATAGAATTCTTTATGGGCCAAGTGTGATTGGACACACAAGGAATTTGCATTTGGTGCATATGCTCTCAGTGTACATAAAAGAAAAGATATATTTGTCACAAATCATAAGGTACAACAGTTAATGATAGTCATAGGGTAAATAAGCAATCAAATCATACTAGGAAACGATCAATATAAATCGTAAGGATACAAGCAGCAAAGTTATAGTCATAAGTGGGAGGAGATGGGGTGATAGGAACCATGAGAAGATTAATAGTAATAGTATGCAGACTTAGAGAATGGAATAGAATAGAAAATAGAATAGAAAATAAAAACTCAAAGTGGCTCTTCTAGTTTAGCCCCTACTCAAGCAGGAGACCCCGTATACCATTTCAGACAAGTGCGGGATCTCATCTGTTAGATAGCATTTCCCCCCATTTAAATTCTCCCCCCCCCCCGCCAGTCCCAGCAATGCCAACCCAAAAATCCCCTCCGAGAATGCGCACGGGATTGCTCTCACCTTGGGATGCGAAACGAAGAGAAGCCGCTGCGCCCCCCCCCGCGCCCCTTTCCCCCGGGGGGAAGGGGAGAGCGACGCCTTTCCAAGATTGCCCAAGACTTGGCTCCCGGCACAGCGCGGAACTGCCGATGGTCGGCAGATTTGTCTCATCCGCTTCTCAGCTCAGCTCAGTCCCGCCCCTTTGCTGAATACGGCGGAGTTTTCGGAATGAGCTCAGCTCATGCTTGGGAATTCCCGGCCTCCGCTCCTCCCTTCTTAGAAACCCGCCAATATAAGCGAAGAGAACCATGGAGACCGTCAGTCGCTTTCCAGGATCTCTCAGCAGCCAACCTCGCTTCTTCCTACCCTCGACATCATGCGCGCTTCAGTTCAAACTGCCGCCGCTCTGGCTCTGCTGGTGCTGATGCTCAGTTCTTCGATTCTAGGTCAGTCCGGGCAAGTCTGGGGGGAGAAAGGGAATGGGGGGGGGAAGAAAGGGATGAGGACGGGTCGGTCGCTTTCCTGTCGAGCCCGAGGGGACAGGGCGGAAGAGAAAACGGTGAGCGGGCGGGCAGCGGTTGTCCCAAACCACTTTTCCTCTTCTCCTTGGCTTCTCTCTGCCTCTAAGAAAGGGACAGTTGTCTGAGAATTTTGTCGAAATAGGCCCATTGATTTCCTTCCACGCTCTGTTTAATGATCAAACGGTGATTGCAGTCCTTTGGAACTTATTGATCAAAGACAGGAGCAGTTCAGGAAAACTTTACATCAGGGGTCCCCAAACTTGGCAACTTTAAGACTTGTGGCCTTCAACTCCCAGAATTCTCCAGCCAGCTAGTAACCTTATCCACAAGTAACTACCATTCATTCAATGACTTGGAAGTTGCCATGATGTTGAAGAAAAGGGCTTCTAACCAGACCTGGGAGTTAGATAAGACTTTCTGATAAGTGTTTTTATGTAAGGAAAGTGTGTGTGTGTGGGGATCCTTTGGAAGCATTGATGCAGAGTATCTCTTCCAACATTGCTGAATAATTAACCCTCTTCTTCCATTTATTCTGGAGTCCCAGGATTCCAGAGTAAAAACAAACAAACAAACAAATGAGTTCTTGACAAGCACAAGCCTTATTGTCTTTTACTGCAGAAATCCAAAATTGTTCTTCCACTCACTTGCGTTTTCATTTCCTCCTATAGCATCTGATCCCCCAACCTCCTGCTGCTTCAGCTACACAAAAAAGAAGATTCCACTCAAGCTTTTGGTCAATTTCTATGAAACAAATGGCAGATGCTCTCAGCCAGGTGTTGTGTAAGTATCAATTCCGCAGCAATTTCAGCAGTCGGGCGTAGAGCAGGTATAGTGAGGACAGGCTAAAGCATCCTCATAGATCTAATGCCACTACTTCTTCATATATGTACCTGCTAGCTAGAGCAAGGATGGTTAACATAATCCGTATGCTACAGATGACTTCCAAATTCTCCTGAAATTTGATGATTGACATTTGGAGGCAAAGAGCTGATATATTGCTCACTAATATTTTACAATATGAGAAAGAAAAGGAGTAGCTCTATTATGATCTTGCAACAAAAACGACAAAGTTTTATTATTTAATTATTATATGCATTATATGCATATATTGCCATAATCAACCTCCATTTTTCTGCCCATAAGCCGGTAAAAAAGCTAAGCATCTAAACATTTAAAACAATTACAATTATTTTATTAAAATAAATAAAACTAAAAATATTATTCACAGAAGTTTTAAATTTGGCCCAAGAGGGTGTTCTTTAACTTTTTTTTCTGAAAGTGAAAAGAAAGTACACCCCACAACTTAGGAACAATATTGGGAAATTAATTTTCACATAAGCTTTTCTAAATAACTGTACATTTTACCACTATTTTGGTAAGGGCAAAAAGAGTATTAAAAAGAGATATAAGACAGTATTATCCAAAGCAGATATAACAAGACATTTCTTTCATTGATCTATATTAATATATTAAGAGGGTTTGCACATCAGGGAAATCTATACAGTGACATACAAATCCATACAATGTTAGTTATTTTGAGAAACCAAGTAACTCATTTATTTTAAACATGGCTAAAATAAACCCTTAGTGCTTTATGTAAATTAAGTGATGAGATAGCAAACTTGGTCTTTTTTAAAAAAAATGTTAAAAAGAATATTACTACATTTTCTTATGCGTCATCTTCAATATGGTGTTCTCCAGAACTATGTACTTCAGTAATCAGAATGGTTAGAGTAACTATTATGGTGAAACATGGGAATTCTGGGAGGTCAAATCAATATAGCTGAGGACCTCAATCTGGGATGGTCATCCTAATGAAATTATGTAATTTGCAGTATTTCAGGGAGGAAGTCACATTTTCCAGATTAAAGTTTGAGGATTAGGTGCTTGAAACCATATATGCTACCTTCTGTGCTCAGCATAATTGCTATGTGGAATAATTTAAGGGAAAACAGTTAGGAAGTCTTTGAAATCAGAGTTCAGGTGAAGCAGAATGTGTGATTAAAAAAAGCAGTCAATTGGTGTGAAAATAAAATTGGAAGGTATAATTTTTGTTATTCTTATGATTCCCTTCAGGTTCATCACACGGAGAAACCTGCAGCTTTGTGCCGATCCCTTTGAGAAGTGGGTTCAAGAGCATGTGAATTACTTGAAAGCGAACCGAACAGTTCGTGCAACTGTGGCAAACTAGAAGAGATGAAAACTTAAGGGCATAACACAACTGCATACATACTTGCTTAATCAAGCAATTTTCCACGTGCAACTGCACTTAAATCTCAGGAAATTATTTTAAAATATTTAAAGTATTTTATTTGGGGAATGAATGTTCACTCCTAGTAATTATTTTATTTATGAAAAAAGTTAAGATAAGATAAAAGAATTTTGTATATGTTTATGTATTTGAGTGTTAGAATATACATGAAACTGAAAAAATATTTGTGTTAATAAATATTTTTCTATTAACAGTATTAATCTCTAAAGACTTATTTCCTTCCAAATTGTGGAAAAACTCTGCCTGAATACTTTCAAAATCTTAATGCTATAAAGAAGCTTCCACACTCTTACATGTTCACCTTCCATTTTGGACCTGGTTAAATTAATAGCTGTATTTGATAGTTGTATTAGTTAATTAATTGGGTACTATTCTGTATGTTCCTAGCATACAACAGCAATAACAATAGGACTTAGACTTATATACCACTTCACAGTGCTTTACAGTCCTCTCTAAGCGGTTTACAGAGTCAGCATATTACCCCCAACACTCTGGGTCCTCATTTTACCAACCTCCAAAGGATGGAAGCAGTGGTGAGATTCAAATAATTTAACAACCGGTTCCTCTGCCCTAATGATTTCTTCCAATAACCAGTTCACCCAACTGCTCAGAAAGTTAACCATCAGTTCTCCCAAAGTGGTGCGAGCTGACTGAATCCCACCACTGGAGGGAAGGCTGAGTCAACCTTGAACAGGTCAAGATCGAATTCCAGACTGTGGAGTCAGCTTGCAATACTGCATTCTAACTACTCTGCCACCATGCTGGTTTTCTGAAGATATATTTTTATTCAAATCAGCTAACTTTACATACAGCCTAGGTCTAGGACCTAGGTAATTAAAGTTTGAATATTACAAATATAAATCTGCAAAGTGTTTATATACCGTATTTTTTGGAGTATAAGATGCACCTTTTCCCCCCAAAAAAGAGGGTGAAAATCTGGGTGCATCTTATACACTGAATGCAGCATTTTTGGCCTCCCAAAACCCGTGTGCCTTCACAAAAAAGAGATGTGCATAGGATTTGGGAGGCTTGCAAAGTTCTCCTGGGGGCTGGGGAGGGCAAAAACGAGCGAAAAATGGGCGGTTTTTTGCTTGGTTTTACCCCCCTGGGCCCCAGGAGAACTTTGCAGGCCACTCAAACTGCATGCCCTGTTTTTCACAAAAAATGAGGTGTGTAGAGGGTTTGGGAGGCCTGCAGAGTGCAAAAATGTTTTTTTTTTAATTTACCTCTTCAAAATTTTGGTGCATCTTATACTCCGGTGTGTCTTACACTCCCAAAAATATGGTAGGTAGTCTACAACTTAAAATCATTCACTTAGCGACTATTCAGAGTTACAACAGCATTGAAAAAGGTGACTTACAATCAGGTTCTTGTGTTTATAACCACCAGAGCATCCCCACAATTACATGATCAAAATGCAGGTGTTTGACAAATGTATTTACGATGATTGTGGTGTTCCGCAGTCATGTTTTGCCATCTGCAATCTTCACAGCCAGCTTCTGGCAAACAGGCAATAGGGGAAGCCCAATTTCCTTTACAACTGTATAATTTACTGAACCACTACAGTGGTTGCTTAGCTTTCTCTGTTAACCATGACAAAAAAAAAAGGTTGGTTGTGACTCACTTAACAATTTCTGCTTAGCAACAGAAATTATGATCCCAGTTGTGGTCCCAAGTCAAGAACTATCTGTATCTAGTACTAAGACAAGAGCAAAAACAAAATGCACAGGTACAGTATAGGTGGTACCTTGCTCAATAGTAGTACCTGTGAGAGGGATCTTGGAGTCCTAGTGGACAACCATTTAAATATGAGCCAGCAGTGTGCAGCATCTGTCAAAAAAGCCAACACGGTTTTAGGCTGCATAAACAGAAGGATAGAATCAAGATCATGTGAAGTGTTAATACCACTTTATAATGCCTTGGTAAGGACACACTTGGAACACTGCATCCAGTTCTGGTCACCATGATGTAAAAAAGATGTGGAGACCCTGGAAAGATTGCAGAGAAGAGCAACGAAGATGATTAGGAGACTGGAGACTAAAACATATGAAGAACGGTTGCAGGAACTGGGTATGTCTAGTTTAATAGAAAGAAGGACTAGGGGAGACATGATAGCTGTGTTCCAATATCTCAGGGGTTGCCACAAAGAAGAGGGAGTCAAGCTATTCTCCAAAGCACCTGAAGGCAGAACAAGAAGCAATGGGTGGAAACTAATCAAGGAGAAAAGCAACTTAGAACTGAGGAGAAATTTCCTGACAGAACAATTAATCAGTGGAACAGCTTGCCTCCAGAAGTTGTGAATTCCCCAACACTGGAAGTCTTTAAGGAGAGGTTGAGTAGCCATTTGTCTGAAACAGTATAGGGTTTCCTGCCTAGGCAGGGGGTTGGACTAGAAGACCTCCAAGGTCCCTTCCAACTCTGCTATTGTATTGTATTGATATTTAACCAACCAGATGTTCTCAAGACTAATTATCTTGTACAATAGATGATAATAATGAACTGAATATAAGGGTTAGGATTTGGGACTGAGAATGTAGTAACAGATGCGGTTGAATAAACCCTAAGAGAAATCCAGCTGTTAGAGTAAACCATGTGGGCCTATTTCTTCCCCCACAACAACCAATAGGGTAGGGGAGACCTTTGAGCAAAAGATGAAGGAAACTTTTTTCTTGCTACTCAACCTAGCAATTAGTTTAAGAGCTAGACCCCCCCCCTCTGAACACAGATGTTCTATATAGCCATCAAAGCCAACATTTCCTGATAATAATTCTTGTTTTCGCTTCATGAATTGGTCCACCTGGCTCCTTGCAATTTCTCCAACTCAATGGGTACTTTTTATATCTAGAATCTCTGACTTAACCCTCAGAGAAATTATTATGAATGATGATGTCAGCCTCTATATCGCTTGCTTGCTATTGGCTGCCATAGTAACGGGGAGGGAGGGGGTTTACAATATTTGAGAGGGGAATTATGCTGGAGGAGACATCTCAAAGAGGGAGTTTTGTTCTCACCATCTTCTGTGCATGCTGAAGGCTCATGTTTGGGTTTGGTTAAGGCCAACCGTCTCTGCATACCAGTTGGATGAGGCCACCTGAAGATGCACTCCTCATGACACCCTTGGGGGTTGGAGATCGGACATTTAAGTTGGGGTAATTGGGGGGAGGGATTTGGGTAAACTTTTGATATGTACAAGTTCACGCCTCAGATCTTGCTTCACTTTCGCTGTTTTCACCATATCCAGTAAAAGAACTTTTCTCTAAACCAATGGAATTGGGAGTTTTCTTTCTTGGATCTTGAAGGAGGTATGCTTGACAGATGACCTCACTAACTCATTTGTAATTACTTTAAATTACATTCCCTCTTACAAGACTTTATCTCTCCATACACTTCTCCAAAGAATTTTGATGCTTTCCCTTTTAAAAAAGTGTGTTATTATTTTAAAGACTGCTATTTTTTTTCTCCTATAGCTTCTTTTGATGTGAATTTCAGCCTTTTGATGTGAAGGACCATCTACAGACCTTAATATTATTCACTGCAGGGCAAATTCTTAAACTTGCTGACAGATTAAAAGCAAACCAGATCCCAGTGATCTGTATGAAATAGCCTCAAAATGCTTATTGGGTAACATCTTTATTATATTAAATCATTTGAAATAAGAGAAGTCATTGAAAAAGCTTTCAGGTTCTCCAGAGCAGCATCAGATTTATGTATTTTAACTATTTCTATCAATTAAAAAAAACAGGATAACAAAATATAAGAGTTGGAAGGGACTTTGGAGGTCTTTTAGTCCAATTCTCTGCTCAAGCAAAAAACCTTATTGTCCCTGTCTTCCTTCATCTTCCCTGAGTTTTCGTGCCACCCGAGTTCGGGTTGATGCTTGGGGCTCAGGATCCCGGAAAACACCCCTGATTTCGGGGGAGCTGGTAGAGTTTTTAAAGGGGATTTTGGTTAATGTCCTTGTCTTTCCTGGGGTAAAATTCAGCAGGTTCTGATAGGTTCTGGAGAACCGGTAGTGGAAATTTTGAGTAATTTGGAGAACCAGAAAATACCACCTCTGGCTGGCCCCAGAGTGGGGTGGGAATGGAGATTTTGTAGTATCCTTCCCCTGCCATGCCCACCAAGCCACGCCCACAGAACTGGTAGTAAAACATTTTGAATTTCACCACTGCTGACGCCTATAGCACTTCAGACAAATAGCTGTCCAATCTCTTCTTGAAAGCTTCCAGTGATGGAACACCCACAATTTCTGAATTAATTAATTGATCGATTAATTGATCTCACTGTCAGGAAATTTCTCCTTAGTTTAAGGTTACTTCTCTCCTTGAATAGTTTCCAATAATGCCACAAATAAAGATAACTCTTAAAAGAGCAGTAAAATTGTAAGTAGCCTACTACCAATAGATTCAGAAGTGAAGCACACATTTGCACAGTTTTTGGTGAGGTGACTAAAGATCTAAGGAGAAATCATACTACAGAGTGGGTAGAGCAACAGGGAGGTGTTGCTTCTGGACCCTGACACCCTTCTCCTAAACCTAGGGAATCTGGGACCTCTCCTCTTAGCAGAAAAGACGAGTTAGCCAGAGTCAACTTGAAGGAGACAGTCCCGTAAAAACCTCTTGGTCTCTTGCTCTGTAGGTTTTTATACCTGAACTATCTCAAATTGTACTTGGAAACTTACTGGAAGCCAATCCATCATTTGCAATAGCAATAGCAATAGCAGTAGACTTATATACCGCTTCATAGGCCTTTCAGGCCTCTCTAAGCGGTTTACAGAGAGTCAGCATATTGCCCCCAACAATCTGGGTCCTCATTTTACCCACCTCGGAAGGATGGAAGGCTGAGTCAACCCTGAGCCGGTGAGATTTGAACCGCTGACCTGCTGATCTAGCAGAAGCCTGCAGTGCTGCATTTAACCACTGTGCCACCTTGGCTCTTAGGTGCAAAAAGTACCGTATTTTTCAGAGTATAAGACGCACCTTTTTTCCTCAAAAAAGAGGCTGAAAATCTGGGTGCGTCTTATACATCGACTACAGCATATTTGCCTCACGAAGCCCTGCCCCCTTCACCAAAATGGCCGTGCATAGCCTAATGGAGGCTTTCAGAGAACTCCTGGGGGCTGGGGAGGGCAGAAATGAGCAAAAAATGGGCTGTTTTTTGGCCCCCCCCAGCAGCATTCTATAAGCCTCCATA